GTTTTTAACAATGTAATTGAGAATAGTTTATTACATAAAACCAAATGAAGCAATAAAAAAGGTTCAGTTTTTGCCAAAACTGCAGTGAGTTGCAGGAAAACAATTACTCAGATTTTCAATAAATGTAAAAATTGTTATGAAAACTTCATTTTGCTGAATTGAGACATCTTACCTATAGATGAGGTGATGCTGACTCCACTGCTTCTGACGTTCTCAAACACAGAGAAGAGAGTGAAGGTATACTTAGTTCCAGCAGTGAGAGATGAGACTGTGTAAGTTACTGGTCCGACTCCGGCAGGTGGACTGATGTTTGTCTCTGAGTTATTAAACTGGAGAACAAAGCTGACCTTGTTGTTCACTTTATTCCATTGTAGAGTGATGCTGCTCTTAGTTTGTGATGAAGCTTTGAAACCTCCTGCATTCAGAGGAGCTGACAGAAATTTTAAAGCAGAATTAAAGACTACTGATGATGCAAAAGAAAAAAATATACATATATGTAAATACAGTTAAATATATTCAATTTATTCAGCCCATCAATAAAAAAAGATACAGTAGTATACAATATCGTGTTCAAAGGAATATGCATTTTTGGAATGAGCAATAGAGCTGAGAATAAAGGCTGTGCACATGAAGAATTTGCAAAGTCTTCTGATGATGATGATGGAAAGAAACGGTTTTAACAATTACTGAGGCTAACTCAATAGACTCTAAAATCTGACCGGTTTCCCTGTCCTGCAACTCAAGACAGACTAATCCCAGAGAACAAATTGATAAAGAACATAGCCCATCCATCCATCCATCCATCCATCCATCCATCCATTTTCTTCTGCCTATCCGGGGTCAGGTCGCGGGGGCAGCAGCTTCAGAAGGGAGGCACAGACCTCCCTCTCCCCCGCCACTTCTTCCAGCTCCTCCGGGGGAACTCCAAGGCGTTCCCAGGCCAGCCGAGAGACATAGTCCCTCCAGCGTCCTGGGACTTCCTCGGGGCCTCCTCCCGGTGGGACGTGCCTGGAATACCTCACCAGGGAGGCGTCCAGGAGGAATCCTTACCAGATGCCCGAGCCACCTCAACTGGCTCCTCTBGACGTGGAGGAGCAGCGGCTCTACTCTGAGTCCCTCCCGGATGACCGAGCTTCTCACCCTATCTCTAA